GTGAGATTTTTGGTTTCTTAATTCTGCTGCAAGTACGGCAACTTGGGGGCTTTTTAGAGTCTTTGCGGCTTTCAGTTGACAGACAGAGGTGGGCGCCACATCAGAACTCGCTACGGCCTATCTGTCTCCGTCTCGAAGAGCTACAGGAAGCTTTGAGCGGGCAGTCATGAGACGTATCTAGATTCCATTTTGAGCACCTCCTTCAACATCTCAGAAGAAAAAAAAAGGGAATCTTGAGATTCTCACTAAGGAATGAATCGAATATTCTGACTCGAAAGCCAAACGAGTGCGAAATGCACATATGTGGACCAACCAATGTCTGTCCGCCTCGGGGTGACAGATACTACTTAGTTACGGATATATCTCGCCAAGCTTTCGCAGAGTCTCCTTCCTGAGTTCTCCTATCCTCGGCCTCAGCCGCTACCCGATGATCTATCCGTAGATGATCGAACCGTTTACTTTCCAAGGGACCTCTCCCCGTAGATTAGCCGATAATCCTGGCAACAGCCGGGAGAGCGAGTCATTCAGTTCGGGGACCTGATTGGACTACTGCGTGATTGGGAATGGATGTCTTGGCGTCAAGACAGGTTCAAGGTTTCGAAGCCCGAAACCTTATTTCTGACTTACCCGGTCCCAAATGCATTCGCAGAAGCTTAAATATACGAGCGTTACGCTTGATTAGCCACAACCGCCGGAGCACTGTAACAGGTCTAGCGTTCCATCAATGAGAAACACACCCTGAAGGTGAATAGCTGTGTCAGCCTCAAGTTTGCTAAAACGGAACGTCGCCGAGAGGCCTAGATCTTGGCCATCCACCAGAGTATCAGTATGCCCTCCAGTCAACATTATGTATCGCGCACACACTTTAGGAAAAGTCTAGACGCCCGCTCTGGTTCCATCTTATGCATAGCCTGTAGCCGCTTCAGGCCTTGTGACCAGGCCTGTTTCCAAGCGCCGATGGGGTTCATGATTTGCGGCTTCCCCGGCTCAACGTCTCTACAGCGCACCCACTTCAGTTGCAACGCATTCTAGGGTGAGCTGCACCGGGCCAACGGCTTATGCACATCGCTTGGAGTAAACTTTCGCCATGAAGCAGAAGATCTCCCAGGAACAGCCACGATAGCCAAGGAGACATGGTTTGGTACACGTGGTCAGAAGGTCCCTCGCCATATCCGTACTCATACAGGAAGTGAAATCGGACACGCCCAGGACGGAAAGACTCCGATGGAGAGTCTTCCGCTCTATTGATGATTCGAAAATTTCCGCCCTGAAATAATGACTGAGGCTACTGTCCTGTGGCGTGCATGCGAGTGGCTTATGATCGCAAAGACTCTAGCACGGAGCTCTCTTACACTGCCGGACGATTCAGGCCACTTCGGTAGATGTCTAGATTTCTAGAAGTCACCCGAAGGTTAGTGTAGATCAAGAAGTTGCTGGAGAACTTGGTAGTCATTCATAATAAACTGATTCTAGAGGAATACATCGGCTTCAGCCAAGACCTCATTGAATAAATTAATAAATGACAGGCTGAAAAGATAGAAATGCACATTGAGAAGATTCGTCAATTCCATTTAGTAACCCTCTAGACAGTTCATTGCTACGCTAAATTTACCCAAGTATTCCTTCTAGAGTCTCCTCTTGAACTCTACAGTCGCCCATGGATCCGGTAGAAATTGTGTTTCCGCTCGTGCACTTTGCGGGCGTCTCTGTCCGTGTGTGAAGCGCATATCGTAATTTTTTAACAGATGGGCCATGATGGCCTTGATCTCGTGAGCCGCAAAGAAGCGTCCTGGACAAGCATGGCGCCCGTAGCCAAAACTCAAGGATGTCGGATTCGACGCGACATACTGTGCGCGACCTTCCATGTCCGAGCGCTCTCCCCTCATCCTGGCAAAACGAAACGCATCAAAAGTTTCGGGGTCCGGATAAAAGGACTCATCCATAGTGATAGCTTGTGTTGGAATCCCAATGGTGGTATGAGCGGGAATTGTAAACCCCGAGGATAGTGTAAACGGCTGATGTACAACTCTTTCGAATGTGACTGCAGCAGTTAATGTATTAGGCGACCGCTGTGAAAGTCCGAACTAATTGGGGTGAACATACTTAGAAGGAGAGGATTGAACCTTTGGCTCTCTTTCATGAAACTGTCCATCTTCACCATTTTCAGGAAGCCAGATTTTGTTATCAAGTCATCGCTGCCAGTAAGGCTCTCAACTTCCTCCCGCAGTGTCTCAATGATTTCAGGACGTTCACATAAGTCGTAAATGAGCTGCGCAGGTGCAGCAGCACTGGTGTGTATCGCAGCGAAGCTGACTTTTAAGAGAATACTGGCCAAGAATGCCATGTCACGCTCTTCACCTTTTGCTTGCTGGGCCATCCAGTACAGGAGATCTTCAGCTTTGTCTCCGGTGCGAAGACGACTCTCGAGCAGTGGGATAGCTGCAGCTTCTGCAGCGGCGTAGTGGCTGGCAATCTTGGCAATCTCTGGAATAAAACGAGCTGCCACTGGCTTCATGAATTCGGGATATCGTTTTAGCTTCTGGGCGCCAACGAAACCGTCAATTGCAAAGTCGATAGATGACTGCACCCATTCTTGATTGTGAGATAGAGTGGTGCCGCCAAACATACAACTCGAGACTCTTGCCACAATTTGCGTCAATGTGTGCACGACAGGTACAGGCGTCCAATCTGTTCACGTTAGCGGAGCAAAATGATTTGTCAAGGTCATAAGCGCAAACCTTCACAAGTAGGAAATGTCGCATTAAATGCGTTAACTATTTCCTTCTGCACTGCCGGCATTACATCGCCTGCAAAGTTGTTAGAATCAACCCAATCACTCTCATGCCTTGTGTCGACCGCCTACCGAGATGATGGTTCAATTGCGCCTTGACAACGCGAGGGTGCAGGGTCGATCTACTCCCCATCGTGGTGTACTTGCCCTCGAACATCTTCCTGGCGATATTAGAATCATCATACGTATTCTACCTTAGCACAGGGCTGAGTTTATTACCTCAATAAACGTAGCAACAAAGTCTACCTGGTCAATAGGGGCCGTCTTGAGCTCCTCCAAGTATTTTGAGGGAATCATAAGCCGTTCTCCAAGTGGACTAGGAACGTAGAAGAAGTCGCCTTTGGCCTAAACACTGTAAGAATGATTCGAGTCGACCCTCTCTCGGAAGGCAACATACGCTTTTGTACCCTTCTTGAAGCATCTCCTTTGCATTTTGGCGAAACCGCTCTCGATTTGCCTTGATGCTTCGTCTATCACTCCCACCTACGACCAGAACACCAGGAACGAGTTTTTGTTTGTCTGGCAAGAATGCGCATAGCAGAACGATCACTCCGACAGTGAGGCCGAAAAAGGTCATTGCGAATCCATGATTCCCATTAGTATAGTCGCGAGCATAATGCTGGATCAGAAAACCATCGAGATCAAAGAATGACTTCATCGTGATGTAAGTGGGTTCATGAAAATCTTGAGGGAGTCGAGCCCATGGGGAACCGTGACCAGTTTAGCAAATGAAGTAATACGTCGCGGATACTGCCTGGCAAAATCTCGGGGCTTGCAAGGTTCGAATCTTTGGGCTCGGGCTTTTCCCAAAGTATGCGGATTCCGAAGTGTCGGCCGCCGCAACTCCCAACAGGGAAGTTAGCCGAAGCCCGAACGAGAGTGGCTGAGATCTCAACATCAACAGTAGTTAATACCCGTACAAAGCCAGGCTCAACAAACACATGACAATTTGCAGCATCAACTCCTATGACATTAATCCAAAATTTCAAAACCATCTGTCACAATGGGAGAACCTATCCACGACATTCCGTTGGCGAGCTCAACCCCGGTCACTCTCAGTGTTTTACCTGAGGGGCACGATGCTTTCCAGCCTTACAAAGTCGAAAAGTTTGACGACGGCCTTCGATATGACACTCTTCAAGTTCACGGAGGACATCGACCGGACATAGAAACACATGCTCGAGCAGTCCCAATCTACAATAGCGTGGTGAGCTTTAACATCCGATTGTTGCTGATGATGGACCGTGGTCAACTAACTCAAGCGCTATCTCAGTCATTTATATTCACAGATAGTGAGCATGCCAAGAGAGTATGCGCTACCCAAGAAGCAGGGTACTTCTATAGCAGAGTGTCCAATGTAAGTCTTCCATGTCTGCTATTTCGGACATTTGATGATTGAATCAAATATACTAAAACTCATTCGCAGCCAACGGTTGCAGTCTTTGAAAAACGAGCCGCCGCTTTGGAAGGAGGCACCGCTGCTGTAGCCACAGCATCAGGACAGGCCGCCATTTTCAACACCATCATCGGCCTAGCAGGAGCTGGCGATAATGTTGTGGCCTCAATCAACTTATATGGAGGCACCTACAGCCTTTTCAAGACACTGCTTCCACGACTTGGTATCACTGTGAAGTGGGCCAAACAAGAGACCAGAGAGGAGTTTGCCAAACACATCGATGAAAACACCAAACTCCTCTTCGTTGAAAGTATTGGAAACCCTCGCTGCAGCATTCCTGATCTTCAGGGATTAGCAGATGTGGCCCATGAGAACCATGTTCCATTTGTGGTGAGTACTTAGCTGGTAACTCAGAACATACAGCCATTCCAAAAGCTGACAAAGCCAAAGGTCGACAACACATTCGGGGCCTGCGGTACATGGTGTCGCCCTATTGAATTTGGCGCCGACATTATCTTACATTCTGCCACAAAGTGGATGGGTGGTCATGGCACCACCGTTGGCGGAGTCATCATTGACTGTGGCACTTTTGACTGGGGCGCAGCGGGCCACCGGTTTCCTCGAATGATTAAAAAAGATGGCCCAATGAGCTTCTCATACTGGAAGGCCTTCGGCAATATTTCCTTTGCGATGGCGATGAGGATTGACATTTTGATGGAGGTTGGGTCGATACTGAGTCCAGCCTCAGCACAACAGCTACTGATCGGGATGGAGACATTGAGTCTACGATGTGAGAGACACACCAAAAACACCATGGCTGTGGCTCAGTTCTTGGAATCACACCCAAGAATTGCGTGGGTTAACTATCCCGGTAAGTTAGCACCTTCAATTTGTCGACACAAAATCGTCATTTGGATGTCCTCTAATGGAACTACCAGGCCTGGAAAAGAACCAGTTTCACGAAAACGCCAAAAAGTACCTCAGAAATGGTTATGGAGGTGTCCTCTCATTTGGACCTAAGGGAGGAGACGCTGCTAGCAAGATGCTCATGAACTTTGTCAAGGTTGTATCCCACCAAACAAAGTAAGTTGAAATCAGCGTTAATAAGAAAAGGAGAATTTGCTAATTTGTACGCACTAGTGTTGGAGATTCAAAGACTCTGGCGACGCACCCTTGGAACTCTACTCATGTCATCATGTCTGAGAAGGATAGAAGAGAGGCAGGAATCACACCAGTGAGTATTGCACCTTGAATCACCTGGTTAGATTGGATGGGCTGATGAGATCCTCGCGCAGGCATTCATTCGATTCTCAGTTGGAACAGAGGATGTTCGAGACATTATCGAGGATCTTGACCAAGCTCTGGCGCGGCTGCCGGATAACATTGTAAACGCACACGATGAGCGGTTGGAAGCTAAGCTGGCGGCGGCTCATAATGGTGCAACTGCCGCTGAATCCATCGACAGCGTTGATTTCGTAGATGCGGATGTTTCAATATCCAAAGCTAACGTCCCACTTGGACGTCAGACAGCAGTTGGAAACTGGTAAAGAAGGCCTAGTATTAGATTTAGATAGTCTGAAGTTTCTCCTGGTCGTACAAATTGTCCACTCTTAGCCCGAGACTAGCAGGATTAAACTCATATACAGCCTTTCCCTGCCCTGTCTCAGCGGCTCCTATAAAAAGCTTGATATCTCCCCATTGCAGAATCTTCTATCCTTAGGGTCTGACAGAGTCCATGCTAGGAAAGACATGGAAGGTTAGAATGTAGACCGCAAGTTTCCAAACTAGTGAGGTGCCATAGCAGCTTGTGCTGAAGTATTCATGCTGAAGTACCGAAGACGAAGTAGGATCCATGTGAGAAGTCAGACTCAAGGAACTGTTCATTGGACTCTCTATCATACGAATATATATACGCTGTTGATCTACTGTTGATCTAAACTGAATGATATCTCGGTGTAATGCTGCTCCACACCTCATTTCCACTCATCTGATACTCCAAACCTTTCATAAAGGCCTGCAAGTCTGTGCCGCAACCCCCAGCACTTGATAACCTATTAGTGACTAATTGGATGTGAAGAACCTCCCATTCGCGGCACATTATCCACAAGATGCGCTTCGACGCTGAATAGTCCAGGCTAGTCTCCGAAGCCAAAACTGACACGGATGAACATAAGGCGGACCCTTCCTTATGGCCTATATGGGAAGCCTTAAACTCCTTCTCCCAGCTATAGATATCGTTGACGACCGAGATATGTTTTGAGCAATTAAGCTCAATATCCTCGACTGAATTCAGATCTTTAGAGCTGAGATGCAGGTTCATGCTAAACCTCATCAGGGCAGATAGCAACCTAGCCAATTGTGAGTGCTTGAATAAACGCGAAATGAACGGGATCCAAGTCGACTTACGCTTTGCCAACGTCCTTTTCTCGATACTTCAAATAGTGTCCCAGCTCCTTGATCTGTAGTCGCGTCTTGTCAGTTTGAGCGCGCATGAACATAAAGACTGGTTCAAGGATCTCATTGGCAAGGGTTTCGTCACAAGCCCTCATATCATTCCACAGGTCATAAGTGATCCATTCGACTGGGACACTACGATCCGGCAACGAATCTCCCCGGGAAAGTAGTATGAGTTTCTCGTTGTAGGAAGAGCCTTCTTCAAAAGACATGTCTTCCAAGAGATCTATAGTAACACAGTGTCAGAAAATCTGGCCATGCCAGCATCGATACGTTCGATTGGTCTGCTGTGCAAGCTTGTGCAAGAATGCCACTTACCATCAATCAAAAACAAAAGCGTCAGAAGCCGACAGGCGAAAGAAATCCTGTCGTTCAACGCGGTAGGATAGTAGAAGCAGGTGACTTGTGAAAAGCCAGCAGCCACGAATTTCTTTCTGGATTTCGCATCTGCAAATGGCCAGTGATTGAGGAAAAAGGCATTTACTTCCGATGAAACCTCTTTTTCTCGAGGGTGTATCTTGGCGGTAAAATGCGCGGCAGATGGCGGGTCGCTAGGATTATAAGGTCTCTGACTAGATTTGGTCGACTGATCTAAAACCTTTAGCAATGTTGACTGAGCAGGTAGAATGAAAGACGTCAAAGCGTGTAGAGAAATCATTCTGACGCCGGTGGAAGGATCTCGATTGAACTCAGGGTGTGAGATTGGTGGTCGAGGACAAGTTAAATGTTACGTCCGAACCCTTTCCAGCGCGGTTGTCGTTGGTGCCGTTCCCGAGACGAAATTGTCTGTGGTTGATCTATGGTCTTGTTGGTCGGATGCGTGGGTCGTGCACACTGACCACCAAATGATAGATTGGGAAATTTTGCGAGGAGACCGCGACTCGGGATCCATACAAATCGGGCAATGAAGCGAGGCCGGAAGCCGACAAGGAAATATCAGCTCCACTGTCCCGGGGCGAAAAGAAAACCTGCGCCCCCTTGGATTGTCTGGAGCCGTGTAATACGATATTAATTTCCAGTCGATTGTAGAAGCAGTTTGGTCAATCAAGGAGATGAAAGTATTCTGGAAATAGGCAAAGATGATGTCCCACGCGACATTGAAAATATTATCCTGATGAGGTGGTAGGTAACATGTAGATTTTAGTCATCGTGACCACCGCTGGACAGAAGTAGAGATGATTACACGCCTCGTTATTTGTCTGTGACTGACATCACATCTAACATTGTATTCACAGCGGAGGAACAATGGGTTTCGAGTTGCAATCATGACTCCCAGGAAATGTGAGATGTCATGAAAGAAAGACGACACTCTCCATCATTTGTTGGCTTTTGAGTTCCCCAAAGCCCTAATATGTTTTCACATGTCATATTCAAGAAATTTTGTTGCTTCCAGACGCAAAACCTGAAGAGCCCGATTCGGAGCACCACGTTGCTACATACTCTTCTAAATCTGCCTCCAGAGACATGGCACAGCTTGATAGGCTGGGGAAGTCGATGCATCAATTAAAAAATTTAGTCAGGACCATAAAGAAAGTTCACTCTATAGAAAACTTCTGAAATCTGTGGCAGCTTGCTGCATTTTAGTCTCCTGCAGATTTTTTATACCCATCCATGTGTTACGAGCATTCGCCAAAGGTTCCTCCAACTCAGTGTACCTCTCACCCAACGTGAGAATGACTCTGCCATTCCAACGGCCACTCGTTTCTCTCCACTCAGCATTGTCCTTTCCATACGCTTGAACTTTCGCGGACTCCATGGCAACAGCGGAATACACCACTGCAAGCCCCACGAAATGCGCAGAGCTCACTGGCAGGCCAGCAGCCATGATCGGAGCAGCGAGCTTCGCGGGTAACAGTCCGGTGATAGTTGCGGCTGGAGCGACAGCATTGATAGTGATGCCGGTGTCTCGCAAATTTGAGCGCATCGCCCGCAAGTAGTTGATCAGCTTATTCAGTCAGTCTTGTAATTAGTCCAGGTCAGGTTTTACTTACTGCTGCCTTTGTCCCACTATACACAGGGAGAGACTGTTCCGGGGAATAAGCAGTTGCGCTTGATGTCAGCACAATGCTTCCCTGTACGCCATTTTTTCTCATGCTGTGCAAAGCAAGTTTTACGAAATTCAAGGTGCCCCGGAAATTTACATCGACCACGTCGTAATTTGGTTCGAGAAGGTCGCCATCATCGTTGTACGAATCTTTCAGATATGTTCCGTCTTCATCTATCCCTGCATTTGCAACGGCGATCTGGACTTGTCCTATCTGAGAGAATGCATCGGAAAGCTCAACCCAGCGCCTGATATTGCATTTACGAAATTGTACAGAGGATGGCAGTGTCTCCGTGGGTTGGCAAATATCGAGAATAAATACGCCAGCTCCTCGAGATGCTAGGATCTTTGCAGTAGCCAATCCGATGCCAGACGAACCGCCTATTCATGGGAATCAGTATTGCGAACCGAATGGCAAGGCTCAACATCATTTACCAGTGATAATTGCAGTCTGCCCATCCAAATTTGGTATGTCCGTTTCTTTGATATTAAGGGTTGTCATTGCAGAGTTGTGGCTGAGGCGCTGCCAAATGTCGTCTGCTGCAATGTCGAGCGACAACGTGGAGGAAATGAGTTGCACCTTCAATCAGAGTCTTGGACGCGTGTATAAGCTGATCGAGACGAGGCATGCAGAGCTCAAACCATATCGCAGGGAACAGGGCAGAAAAGTAAGTAGTGCCCCACCGTTTATTTCGGAGTTTTGCCACTTTCGGCATTGCTAGCCTACGTCGGAATCCTTGATGATGATTCAGCCTCAGTTCCATAGGTAACTCGAATCATATCCGCGAGAACTTTTCTTTGGTTATTGTCGGCAATCCCCGTTGTTTTGATCTCCCCGACTTCTAATAATCTGATAATCTCGGGCATCAGAGTGCTTTCCTGATATTTTGCCACCTGTCTTTGCTCGAATTCACTGGTCATTATCCTTTTGAGCACGAAGAAATCACTCCACTTCCATGTCACCGAGACTTAGGAAAAAGACCATCCATCAGTAGTGTTATTTATACGTCAGGCGAAAACGAATGCGAGACCTTGAAATTGATGTATATTTCCATATAATGATTTAGTGCATCACTGTCAATAGCTCAAGTCATATTTATAAGCTACTACATCACATTATTTTTATCAGGTATCGGATTATGGTTCCATTCCGTCTTTCTGCTTCGACGATGTATCATTGCTCTCAATTCACTCCGGAATACAGCTATAAACGTAAGCGAAGTATCGCAAACTTTATTTTCAGCATTAGGTAGGTAGAGTATAATTCCGAAGATAGCTTGTATCATAGCACATAGGCGCCTACTTGCTAAGAAAACAAAAGAAACATACGAAGACCTTTTGCTGCAAGTGGTACTGGTAGCGCGTATTGATGGAGTCACAACATGATATCGAGACAGGCATCAAAAGGGAGGTTGTTCCCGCCAATTCAAGTAAGTGGCAAACCATTCCAAGAACCAAGCTGTAAGGGCCTCTACGTCTACAATACATTGCCATGTAGAGGAAGAAAAAAAGAACAAGAAAAAAGACATGAACCAAGAAAAAGGGGGGAAGCAGAAAAAGCGAAAATTCCAAAATTTTGGCTTTTCGCTGACGCCTGTGATTCCAAGCTTACGTCCACGAGTTACAACAATAAGGTGGGCTTGTCTGCTCTTACAGTACGCAGCAATAAAAGCGCTTCTTGGTGCTAGCAATCATGCCCTTCTTGTCGATCCAACGAAGACCACAGGCAAAGTCATATTAATGGTGCAATCTCATCCCTGACTAAACCATGATAGTTTCACTTTCCTTATCCTTCTCTGGATCCCAATATCCAACATACCCTTCTCTTCCAGTCAAATAAGTCCCCGTGGCTTGCTCCTCGGCTGTTGCACGAAACACGGCATGTTTCTTATTCGTCCATTCGAGGCCTTTCCAAGTAACACCCTCCGAATCAACAAACTCTGCATCCATTTCAGGCCGTAAGAGGTAAACAATAGAGTACTTGTGACGTGTGACTTCATCCTTGTGGGGAATTATGCGGTGCAAACTCGACTCTAAAACGCCCCCAGA